TCCAGAAAGGCCCAGACCTTTCCAAGCCTCCGTGGGCTGCCCTGCTCCTGGAGGGTCAGCTTGCTCTGGGAGCAGCTCTTTTGCAGATGTCATCAGGAAGTACACAGGTAGAATCTGCTCCATTTTAGCCTCACAAGATGATGTCCCCAGGGGACTGGGTGAGCTGGAGCAGTGTGGGACCCTGGCTAGGTGCTGAGGCAGAGGCAGATGGTGCTGGTAGGGGGCCCTTGCCCCAGAGGTATGACTCTCTGGGCCACCCAGTGTGGTCTAGGGCCTGGAGCTGGAGGCTGGTTTGGATCCTTTGGCTCTGTGCCAGAATGTCCCCACTGTAAGGGGACCAAGGAGGCAGGGGCGGGGTGGAAGTGGTGGCACCTCCTTTCTCCTTTCCCTCCATGGCTGCTGGTGGCTGGTGGAGACTCTGTTCCTCTGACTCGGGTGGCTGTGTTCACCATGACCAGGAGCCCCACCCCCAAGCCCTAAGTCTACATGGAGCTAGGCTTGGGCTGAGTCCCAAGGCACTGGCCCCCTCAGCTCCCTAGGAAGGGGTCTTTAGAATGAAACTTGAGGACAGCTCTCTATTCTTCACAGCTGCCTAGAATCAGGGGGGTTTGCTGCAGAACACCTTTCTCTGGGGAGGCTTGGGAAGGGGCAACTCCCAGGCACTTCCTCCAGGGAGTAAGGTTCCCCAATCATGTCAGCACCCCACTGCAGCAAACTCACTGGGCTCCAGCACCCAGAGGCAGCTGGGGCAGGCTTGCCTAGTGCCCAAGGTTACACTATCCGGGGGCAGGGCTAGTACTTGAGTCTGAGCTCCTCCTGGGGGACCTTGCTGAGCCCAGGTCTGGCCAACCATATAGCTGTGTCCTGCCCAACACACTACCTTGCCAAGGTCCTTGCAAAAGTCATAGGGAGCGCACTGGGAAGCAGAGGGGCCAAGGCCTCCTGGTCTCCTGGCCAGGGAGACATCTGGCATCTCTGTGCTATTTCTGTGGGCAAAAGGGAACCCTGGCCTGTGCCAGGGGCAGCCAAGGACCCAGTGCCTATTTCCACTTGCCCAGCCCCAAGGAACTAGAAGCCAGCAGGTGATGTTTTCTCGCTCAGATGTCAGGGCTGCCGGTTGCATATGCCTCAGGTGGCCTCCTCTGCTCTGCTCCGGGCTCCCAGGCTGACCCCACTCGGACCTGAACCTGGAGCCCAACCCAAGGCTTAGGTCAGGCCCTGGTTCTGCCAGCCTGAACCTTGCCTGGCACCCAAGAGCCTGTCCCACACTAGCCCCCCACTGTACCCACTCTAGCCCTGCAGGTCTAGGGTGGGGCACTGCTGGCCCCAGAGCTGGATACCCAGGCTCCGTCGCTGAGTGACAGGGTGATTATGCTGTCACGGCCCAACTAGAACTCTGTCCTGAGCCCCAGGAGGCAGCTCACTGGGTAGGCCCCCGGCTGTTGCCAGCCCAGTGCCAGGCAGCCCACTGTGCCCACCCAGTTTCAATGACTGACCCGAGGGTTTCCATCGTGGCCCAGGGGACCGGCACGGGCTGGCATCCGGAGCCGGGCAGTGGCCAGCCGGTCCCCAGCAGTGGCAGAGGCCAGGCTGTAGACCTCTAGGCTGCCATGTGACGGCCACCAGACGTAGGGCAAAGCAAAACGGGGCTTGCCTGGCACCTGCTTACCCCTCTCGGCCATGCCAACCCCATTCCTGGGCCTGCTGCCTGCCTACCGGAGGGACACGCCCCAGCCATGCACCGGTGATAGCCAGAGGCAGGGCCCCTTCTCCCTCGGGGCCCTGAGGAGAACAGTTGGCTGGAAGGCAGGCACTGAGCCCAGGTAGTGTCTGTGTGGACCAGGCGAGTGTGTGACATGCTTAGTACACTTCCTAGAGGGCAGCCAGCTGGGTGAGGGGAGCATGGGCATGGGGCTGGGGTGCCCAGGGCTGCCCTGCCATATGCCTTCTGGTGGGCAATGTGGCCCCTCCCCACTCAGTCTCCCTATCTGTAAATCAGGCTGGTCGTGGTACCTACCTCAAAGGGCTGTGGTCAGAATCTGAGAGGATGTCCTGGCATCTGCCAGGCCCCTCTGTCCCTCTCAGGCAGTGGGTGTTCTGAGCCAGAAGGGCAGGGAGCAGGGGTGTGGGGGCCCCATGGGGCTTCCTTGACTGACTGGCACATTTGCTGCTCTCTCCCAAGGGAGGACGGGCTCCATCCGTCTGCACCTGAAGATGACCTCATGGCTGCCCCGAGGTGGTCAGGGCCCTCCCAGCAGCCAGGCCCACCCTGGGCAGTCCCCCACGTGGCCCAGTCTGTCGACATTGAGGAGCTAGGCCCCTGGGGGAAGTCCTGCAGGCTGCCAATGTGGTCCACAGGCCAGGAGGTCAGGGATGGGGACAGCTCCGTGTCATCAGGCCGCCTCTCTGGCTCCTCTGGGGGTCACGAGGCATGTGTGCCTCTCCACGGGTCCTGGAAGGAGAGGCCGCCCCAGATTTTGGGGCCCCAGCGGCAGCCCAGAAAGAGCGACCCACGGCTGGAGAAGCTGAGGGACAAGATCCGGGCGCAGGTGCAGTGGCAGGGTAGCTGTGCCTCCTTGGGCTCTTCGGCACCCTCCAGCGCCTCGGGCCTCTGCAAAGCTTCCTTGCAGGTGCTCAGGAGGAAGACCCACAAGATGACAAACATCCTTCCAGCAACCCAGCACTCAGGTCAGTGGTTGCTCTGTCGGTGAGGGTGGGGCAGGCATGGGCGGGATTAGGCTGTGCTGGGCACACGGGCAGCCCTGCCACAGAAGCCAGTTGGCAGGTGTATGCAGTGTGCCCTCGAGTTGGGAGCTAGTGTCCACGAGGGAGAAGCTTCTGAGCCAGTTTAGGATGAGGACAGTCCATCGATCCCTCGGTAGAGATGGCTTGGGAGCCATGGAAACGAGGGAGGGTGCCTTGGAAGAGGAGACACACCTGGCCCCTGGGCCTGGAAGGGCTGTGCAAGAGGTTAGCAGGCAGAAGCATGGTCATGTCTGTGGGGAATCAGGTCAGGAGCACCCTGAAAACCCAGCATGGAGTCCCACCTGCAAAGACAGAGTGGGTGTCCTGGCCCCCTCTGAGGCCAGGGGTGCAACTTAAAAAGTTGCTAGGCTGGGGCGACGCCTGTGGCTCAAGCAGTGGGGCACCAGACCCATATGCCGGAGGTGGCGGGTTCAAACCTGGCCCTAGCCAAAAACTGCAACAACAACAAAAAAAGTTGCTAGGCTGGGCATGGTGGTGGCACCTGTAGTCCCAGAATCTTGGGAGGCTGAGGCAGGAGGATCTCCTGAGCTGTGATTGTGTCATTGAAGCCCAGCCTAGAAGACATGATGGCACCCCGTCTTTAAAAAAAAGTTTCTAAACAGTATTCCTGTGGGGACAGAGGTAGGGACCTAATCCTGGTGCTTCTTAGTGTCCAGGAACTTAACTCTTCCTGGGGAGGCAGAGAGGTGTTTTCCTTCTTCTTTTATCTTTAAGATAACTTCTGTATTTTAAAGAATTGTAGCAAAATAACACAGCATAAAGCTGATCAGCTTTATCTTTTTAATGTGCCATCCAGTGGGCCTTGAACCCACTCACAGTGTGATATAATCACCAGCACCTTCTGACTCCAGAACTTTCCATCTTCCCAGCCTGACACAGTCCCCATGGAACCCTGACTCCCCAGCCCTCTGCAGTCCCAGGACCCACTCTCCCCATGAAGCCCCAACC